ATTAAAGAAGTCCCTATTAAGACTGTGTTAGGGAGGGAGGACTTCTAAATGGTGCTCAGACCATCAAAGACACCCTATGCTTTGCCTTTGTGGATTTTGATGTCTCTCTCCGTTGTCTGGATGTTGCTGCCGAGATAAACAATTCCTGGACGGATCTGATGTTTTCCAACTTAATTTCTCCTTGGCTGTAGCTGATAAATTCTGTTTTGCCAGCATTAATATAGAGACCAATCACGCTGGCCACTTCTTAAAAAGATTCAAATGACCCGACTAATATCCATTGAAAAGCAAGGCATCTAAACATCGAAAGACCATATGAAGAATATTTTCAAAAGTTAAATTTAAAAAATTAGAATCGTATTTTTAGACAGGGGTTACTGAGTGTGAAAGAATAAGGAAAAAAAAAGATAAACATTATTAAGCAGAGAGAACAATAAAAGAGTTATCAAGTGTAGATAACGATTGACATTGCATTTTTGATGCTCAAAGTTGGCCGGAGAGCATAGAGCCGGAAGAGAGTTCCACAAATGAGAAGTGCGAGAAAAGAAACTGTCAGCATATATTTAGCCATTTCAACTGTCAACTGATGAGACATTGCCACCAATCTATCTATTACTACGCTTAAATTCATAAAGTGTAGATACCATAGCAAAGAGCTCATCTGAACAATTACCATGAAAATATTTATAGAAAAAGCACAGGGAGGATATGTTACGACGGTGAGAAGGCGACTGAAGCCAAGATGTCAGGTCAGAACCAGTAATATTGCTGATTTGGATTTTATCAAGAATCTAGATATATAGTAGGAGCACCGGGCCATATGTGGCAGCAATACTCAAGGCATGGACGAATGGTAGACTTATAGATGTGTAAGATAAATTCTGAAGAGAAAAATTGTCTACAACGACACAGTGAATCAACTTTCTTAGCAGTAGACCTAGCAATGGATTCAATTTAATCTTTCCCCTTCATTTCAGCCGAGAATGTAGGCCCGATAAGGCGTAATGAATCACTCTTCTGGAGGTTAGCATCAGCCATTCTGATTGGAGGCAGGAAGAGGTTCCTTATCGATTAAAAAAAGAAAAAAAAAAAGTAATTCTGATACAATCTAATAATATCTTCATTGCTTTTTAAGACACCTAAGGTTAATTTGCAGTATAAGCACCAAAAGCCCATGGTAATAAGAAGGTACCATTCTGGTGTGAAATTACTTGATTATTTTGAAAATGACATTAAAAAATAGCGCTTGATTACTGTTAAGGATTTATCGACAATGTAAGTTCGAACTCTTCAGCGTTGTCCGGCCGCCATTACTGGTGTTGTTTACATAATGATTGCCTCGAGTAGTAATGCGCGGAAGCTTACTTAGTTAACGAACTTTTTACCGCTTTTCTTATCTTACTCGTCTTGATTATTGCGCAATTTTCGAGGATGTTTTTTTTTTTTTTTTTAATAAATTGGTTTAAATTTGTTATAGAAACAATTGAAAGCTTTTCTAAATATAATGTCATGGTTGAACATTTTTCCAAAAATATTCTCATGAAGCTTTAAATGAAAAGTGTTTTTGTGGTTATTCAGGCACATAATTTTATTATTTGTTTTTTCATTTTTACTAATATATTTGGAATCGTGACGTTTTTTTTCTGTTGGGTTAATTTTAAACTTCGCGCATTGCGCAGTAATCAACACAAGTGAAGCTTCTGCGCCGCATCACTACTGGAGACAAAACGTATGTAAACAAAGTCAGTAATGGCGGTCGTTATGTTAACGCGACGAGAAAGAAGTCGAACTTGCATTATCGGGAGCAGCAAAATGCCGTTATATTCACTACAGACATTGTTAGGGGGGTAATGAGGACTTCCATCACGTGTCATTTTTCGATTTTTCTTTTATGACAGTTTGAGAACGCGAAAACTTTAGCTCAATACATATAAGAACCGTCCTGGGTATGACGATAAACTACATCCGCGTCCTGGGTAAGACGATAAACTACATCCGCGTCCTGGGTAAGACGATAAACTACAACAAGGCATCTGATCAGGAGGTTTTGAGGAGCGTGGAACCACCTCTTAATTGCTGGTGTTCCCAGGTTCACACTGACCTGGAGTGCTAGAACTTGTTGGGGTCCCATCGATGGGAAAATAGTTAACCCTCAAACTTGGGTCAAAACACTATGAAAGTGTAAAAATAGGTTTCAATACCAGGAATACCCATTGAGGTTGATATGCCGCAAAGCAAACCAAACATATAAAAAAAAAAAAAAAGTGTTGGAGATCTTGGAGATTCGGATCGACTAAATTTGGAGATGGAAGCGACATTTTAATTTAAAATCTGAAATTTTTATGAAATTTAGTCTCCCCCCCCCTCAATTCAGTGTTAGATTAATGTGAAAGAAGAACCTGTAAAGGAGGTATAAAATGAATTAATGCTTTATCGACTCTGAATCTGGAATCGGTTTGAACATTAGCATATTCGGTATATATTTGATAGAATTGACATTTTATATAAAATCTTGACCTTTGACCTATATCGGGTTCTGTAGATGTGACGAGAGTGGGCAGACATAAATGTGACGATGTCAAAGGTTAAAATCTGAAGATCAGAATGTTTAAACACTCGGATAGAGAGGTTATCTGATTTTTCACAGAACGAACTGGAAAATTCAAAAGTGTTCTAAAGATCTCGCGATAGTTTTTGATAAGAAAACCTCTGGTAAAATAAAGACTATTATGCTATTAAGGCTGGCAACATTTTACGCTTTCTGGCCGAGAAATCAACATCATATTAAACGGGAAATATATGGGTGGGTTCGGGAAAGAAGCGAGATGTGAGGAGAAAGTGAGCGTGAAGTATTTGAACGAAGCAAAGAAAGAGGTGAAAAAGAAAGAGAAAAAAAAAAGAACTAGAATAAATTGTGAAGGGATAGATAGGAGAGGATGATATTGAGGGGCGGGGTTGGATTTCAGGAGGCAATGAGCGAAAAGTTGGAATGGAAAGACACAAAAATTGCGATATATTAAATTTCACGATGGAAGGATGGAGCAAGATAAAAAAAAGGATGGGGTAGAAAATATTTGCTCATTCCTTATTCCCATATCAAACTAATTCATATTTGTATAAAAATGGAGAGAAGCAAATAAAGAGAGAAAAGAGAGAGCGAATAAGAAAGAAAAGTGAATAATTGCGAGAAAGAAAAATAAAAGAAGGAAAATAAAAGGAGATGAATGAGAGAAAAAAAGGAAGCAAAGAGAGAAAAAAAAAAGGAAGCAAAGAGAGAAAAAAAAAAGGAAGCAAAGAGAGAAAAAAAAAAAGGAAGCAAAGAGAGGAAAAAAAAGGAAGCAAAAGAGAAAAAAAGGAAGCAAAGAGAAAAAAAAAGGAAGCAAAAGAAAAAAAAAGGAAGCAAAGAGAAAAAAAAGGAAGCAAAGAGAGAAAAAAGGAAGCAAAGAGAGAAAAAAAAAAGGAAGCAAAGAGAGAAAAAAAGGAAGCAAAGAGAAAAAAAGGAAGCAAAGAGAGAAAAAAAGGAAGCAAAAGAGAGAAAAAAAAGGAAGCAAAGAGAAAAAAAAAAAAGAGAGAAGCAAAGAGAAAAAAAGGAAGCAAAGACAGAAAAAAAAGGAAGGAAAAGAGAAAAAAAAGGAAGCAAAGAGAGAAAAAAAAAAGGAAGCAAAGAGAGAAAAAAAAAAGGAAGCAAAGAGAGAAAAAAAAAGGAAGCAAAAGAGAAAAAAAAGGAAGCAAAGAGAGAAAAAGGAAGCAAAGAGAGAAAAAGGAATAAAGAGAGAAAAAAAAGGAAAAAAGAGAAAAAAAAAGGAAGCAAAGAGAAAAAAAAAAGGAAGCAAAGAGAGAAAAAAAAAGGAAGCAAAGAGAGAAAAAAAAAAGGAAGCAAAGAGAGAAAAAAAAAAGGAAGCAAAGAGAGAAAAAAAAAGGAAGCAAAGAGAAAAAAAAAAGGAAGCAAAAAGAGAAAAAAAAGGAAAAAAGAGAAAAAAAAAGGAAGCAAAGAGAAAAAAAAGGAAGCAAAGAGAGAAAAAAGGAAGCAAAGAGAAAAAAAGGAAGCAAAGAGAAAAAAAGGAAGCAAAGAGAGAAAAAAAAGGAAGCAAAGAGAGAAAAAAGTAAACAAAAGGAAAAGGAAAAAGAAAACAAAAAGGGAAAAAGATAACAATAGATAAAAAGAGAAAAATAATCTTTTACTATGAAAGGAGAGTTCAGCTATAGTGTTTAAGGGTCGTAGATTCTAAAAACGACCTGAGAGTAATAATCATCAATAATAAATAATAAGAATGGTAAAAATAGTCAAAAATTAAAGATAAAGAATTTGATGAATGGTAACAATTGGCAGTTATTATCTTTAAACTTTTATCAAATTCATTGATGCGGGGATGAGAAAAAGCATTTTTCATTCAGCCAAGTGGTTTCTCTGAGTCTCAAGTTACATTTCTCCCGACCCCATTTTGTATTAGCATCTAGTATATATTTTCATCATAGTACATGTGACGAATACATATGACTGGGTTTTGAAGCCGTCTCCTGGGAGCCAAGTGTATCCCTTTGAGAATCATTCTCTTAGAACAGAGGTTCTCAAACATTTTCTCGCCCCCCCCCATCACGGCCACATTTCTAGCACTCTCCTTCTACATCCACATGGCGACACTTATTTCTTTGCCATATTGCAAATTCAAAATAACATACATCAGAACAACCACCGTGGATATATTGCCACATTTACAAACTTCGAGTTTAGGCCCCCTGCATACTCTCTGATCTGGGACGTCCTGTCCATGTGACGTCGACAAGACAGAAACAATCGTGCGGGCTTTTAATTTTGCACAAGAAAATTAAACAAAACGTTCGTGTAGAACATTTATAGTAATTTTATTATTTGTAAAGCATCCATCTTCTAAATGATTCTTTTGATATATTTTCCTCCATGGCATCTAGACTTTATGAATTTAAGCGCAGTACTAGATTGGCATGAAGGTCTCATCATTTTACAGTTGGAATGTCAAAATGTAACCGTAAGTTCTATGCTAACGTTTCTTCTCTCGCATTTCTAGCTGGAAGAACTCTCTTTCGGCTTTTCAGTCATCTTTCATCTTCAAAAATTGAAATGCAATCTCAATCGTTATCTGCTGTCATAATTCTTGTTCTTTTATTATCATTTCTCCTTAATAGTATTTCTTTCTCATATTAACACTCAGTAACACCCCCCCGTGTCTTAGTGGCTTTATTCCTTTGCCTGAGAGTGGGGGGGTGATTAAAAAAAAAAAAAAATGAAAGTCACTTAGATTTTGTCAGAGATTTTATAAAAATTAAAAACTTATTTAGTTCCAATCCTGCTGCCCTTCCCAAACTTTTCCCCTTTCCGCCCACCCTAGATATTTTACAGCCCAGTCCCTAAGGGGCAGAATCACCCAATTTGTAAATCCCAGTCTTAGATTGAGATTGGTGAATAGGAATTGGACTTTATACATTGTGACACACTCTCTCACACACTCTCTGATGCTTGCAGCAACGAAAGAGGGAACCAGATAATTTTTGAAGGACCCATTGTTAAAAATATAATCATGGGCCATGTAAAATATCAGCTGGGTACACAGATTTCCATACCCTAAAACCTTCCCATGGACTCATCTGGATATTTTGAGATAGAAAATAAATACATAGAAATGTGGATGTCTAAAATAGAGATTAATTTTTAATAATATTATTCATACAATACAAGGCCTAAGAGTCACTCAAAGTAGAAGTTTACTTAATGCGTAAAGGGAGGAAGTAAGAAGGGCATATTATGAGGATATGAAGGATAGATAACTGTTGACCTTTGAGTTGAAGAGTTGATCTGAAAAATCAATCTTACGGGCTACCGCAGGGTGAGGAGCACAATTTTCACTTGATGACCCCCACAGCTATGGACTTTAGCCAAATTCAGTTAAATTTCAGAAGTGGCAACATGCAGTCCAAAGATTGTTCAAATTCTTCAGGAAAAATATCTATAAAAGTTTTCCATCTATTTAAGTCGCATCCTGTTTATAGAAGTGATATAATTTGCAAACATTGAAGTAAAAATGTTTTTTGTCTGATACCCAGACGATGGATGCTGTCAGTCAGTTATGTGTCATGCGTGATACACGATGAGGCGATCATCTATCTTTCGATACATTACTGAAGAGACATTTTTTCCTCCGCAGTAGGTTGCCATTTCTTTCTGCGGTAGATCAGTTGCCATCCAAGGCTATGAGAACCCGGTCTGTTCTGCTATTTACCCATAGCTAGGGGAGAAGAAGGGTAATAGCACGTAAGTGAATGTAATGGATTCGACTGAAATTTGAACTCGACTCTCCTTAATTCTTTAATCCGAGCCGCTGTAGAAAACTTAGTTGGTTTCGAATCTGTACGCAGGCGTGTGCTAGATTGTAAAGTTTTTGAGGTGTGCATCATATATTTATGTTTAAGGTAAATATTGCATTCATAGTACATTAGTACTGTGTATAGCAAATTGAATTCCCAGCGAAATAATATATATTTATAGTATCTTTATTTTCAACGAAATATCAGATAATGAAGGGAAATAACGAAATAAAAATATCTTAGTTTTTATATCTTTAGAAATATTCAAGACATTTGTTCTGTGTAACATTAATAAATCTCATACCACCAGCTCAAGTAGATACTAATAGACTAGTAACATTATATTTAATCTGAAGATAAATATAGTATACGCATAACTAAAAACAAACCAACAAACTTGACATGTTGGTACAATTTTGAATACAGATATAGATTCAGCATAGCAGCCGCGAAATGTTTGCTTCTGTGTTAGATAACGGACATTTTTTTCTTTGAACTACTTATTCCTTTGATTAATCAAAAAGAAAAAAAAACGATAATTAACGGGTAAGAAACGTTTTCTTTGGAAAGATTCTAGCCAATTTGTATTTACAGACTTACTTGGAAACAGTTGGGTGTAACTGAACTGAAATTGTTTTTAACAGTATTACGCAAACGAGAATCGCGCTAGGATATTCCGCTTTTGCAATATTGTATTAATAAATATACGTAAATCGGGTCATTATTATATATATTAATTAAAATTTGTAACCCGTGCTTTATCCATGGCATTTATTTGAGAGAAATTCACATCCAAATTTATCTAGCTTCAGAATGAATCCGTTCTTACTTCTTATATTTAAAGTTCATATTTATTTTCTAGTTTTCAACAATTTGTTGGTAATTCGATGTTGTTAGGTTATAAATGACAAGAGGCGTTAAAACTGGGTCATTGAGGAGGTGGATGGACTTTAAATGGAAGTTCAAACCAGAAGTTGTTTTGAGAGAATAGTGAAGAGGCGGACGGAGGGGCAAGATTTGAAACGAAGGGAAAAATTTGTCAGATCGTGGATGTCGTCGTTCGTGGAAATCAAAGAAACAGTAGAGAACTTTAGAGTTTTTTATGTGAAAGGAAGAATTGGAAATCGCAAAAAGAATAGAAATGGAGAATCATTTATTCACTTCTCTCTTTGCAAGAATGCACATCCACGCGTCCAGAATAGACACTGGTTATGAAATTTAAAAATATAAAATTTTGGTTTAGCATTCCTAAAAGATTAAGGTAAATTTTTCATTTAAAGAGATTTATAAAGAATTTCTTTTTAGAGAGGATGATGATAGCCGATTTAAATCCACTGAGGAAGGCAAAAGGGAAAGGATTATCCACTCCTTGGAGATTAAGGAATTTAGTATTACGTTTAAAATATCAACTAAGAAAGACTTAAATTAGATATGAAAGCCTGTGCTTGGTCTCTTTATTTATTTATTTATTTTTTTTAAATTAAAGATTTTTTTTAAATATGAAAAAAAAAAAAAAAAAAAAAAATCAAATTCAACTTTTGTTAACTTGCAGCATCCACTGCTAAAATTTCAGGACGCATTAGGGTTCTGGGCGCGCTTGGTTCTAAACCCTACAGCTTATTTTACACTTTGTTTTCAACCTCTCCACCCAGCTCTGCTATTCCAAATTTAAGAGTCTGAATGATTATGGCCACTACCTATCTTTCAATGTTCGAAAATTCTCTTAGCTCCCGGGTAAAGTTTGGCAACCATTTTACACTTTATTAAAGGATCTGCTGGGACAACCATATTAGCTATTTGACAATATAGTAATATTGGTAATTTATTACGAATGAAAAAAAAAAAAAAAAAAAAAAAAAAAAAGCCAGATTTCATTGTAAATTTAAGCCTGACGATAAACCTACACCTGTATCATCAGCAAGTGATTCAAACACGTTCTAGCTATTTGCAATATCCTCTTAAAAAAAAGTCCGTCGGCATTTTCAGTAACAGGAAATATGCACTTCATTCAAAAGTGTATACCTACAGTAGTAATAAGTAAAATTAACATTTGATTATGAGGGCTTGTCTACTGTACGAATTTAAAAGAAAAGCGGTAAACGCCATCTTTAAATTATGTAGCGGGTTTGATGAAGGATATGTTCGTAAAAAGTGCTAAAAAGTGTTTTTCAATTAGAAATAAATCACTGAAAGATGCACCTGAGAAGGGATGGCTGGTAAGCATTAATGAAAAGACTCGAAGAATTCAATTCGCTTTAAGTTAGCGAATGTTAACGGTATTGAGCTAACATTGGAACTGGTATTGAGCTAACATTGGAACTGGTATTGAGCTAACATTGGAACTGGTATTGAGCTAACATTGGAACTGGTATTGAGCTAACATTGGAACTGGTATTGAGCTAACATTGGAACTGGTATTGAGCTAACATTGGAACTGGTATTGAGCTAACATTGGAACTGGTATTGAGCTAACAGATATTGCGCTAGAATGTCAGATGACAAGTAATTAAACTACACTGTCCCAAAAAAAATAGACATGAAGGAAGTGGGTAACCGATGAACTAATAAAACAATTAGAAATAAACGGACCTTTAGGTTAAGTAATAAAATATCATCACTTTATTAGAACGATTGATTTGTAAATCTTGTAGGAGAACAAGTTTTACCATTTGTCAGTCAGAGAATAGCTCTTGATCCGAAGGCTCATTAGGATAGCGAACGAAGATTTCCAAAAGCTATGCAAAGTATCAAGAAACAAAAATTCGTTAGAAACAAAGAAACGAGTACGGAATGGTTAATCCTTCTATATGACAGTGAATGCTGGACAATCTCTTCACAGTTA